GGAAAATAAACTGGGCAAGAATACAGTAAGCATTTTCACTTTGTTGAACTATAAAATCCAATTTTTCATGTAAAGCCTAACTACCTTTTTTTTGTTCAAGGGTAGAGTTAGGCTTTAAGGTAGGTCATATTATATTACTATGGGGGTTATTCACAAAGCTGCCGAAGTGCAGATGGAGTTAGACTCAGCCGACTTAACATCTGGTTCGGCTGAGCCGAAGCTCGGGCAGTTAATTCGCTGCCGTTTGCCCCTATTCTCATTTGGCTCTGCTATTCTGCTCGATACCTCCGAGGTACCGAGCAGACATGAAAATAAAGTGAAATTTAAAAATAAAGTTGAAAAATTGTTTTAAAATGTAGGGGGAAAACAACATTGTTTAAATAAAATAAAAAAAGAATTGTAAAAAACACAGGCAAAGATGGCAAGAAAAACAATTGGGCGGAGCGAGTCGAGAGATCACGGCTGGCTCCATCCAGCTGTCATCTGCATGGAGATCAATCGACCTTTCTCCATGCTTCGGCTGTCACTTCGGCTCAGTCGAGCTGAAGTGTATGCTTTCGAATTGGCTGCCGTACGGGCTTATTGTGTATAGCCTGTACAGCAGACCTTCGGTTCAACTGAACTGAAGGGCTCTGGCGGCTGAAGTGAGCTGAAGGATCAGCCAAAGCTACAGCTGTATCCTTTGGCTCCATAGTGAATAACCTCCTACGTTTTTAATACGCAGTTAACTTAGGGTACACGCAAGTAAAAACTGATACATGAAATATGCACATAAAAAGCAGCCTATCTGTTCAGTTCTTCATCCAGTCATTGATGTAGTATACCAGTGTCCCAGTCCCTGGTGATCATAGACCCTCTTCTTGTTATGCAGGAGCACTAGTCTCTGACACACCCACTTTGCATACAAAAGGTCTGATGTGAAGATGCCAGTATTAAGAGATCACCTATCAGATTAATTCCTACTTTGTAAGTTTAAGGGCTTAATTAGCTGTAAACCATCTCTGTGTTATAGTGTACTGCATTTAAAAAAAAATGCAGCAGATCCATTCAAAACCTGCATTGTGATGCATTAGCTGCCCGTTCAAAATGAATGGGTTGCCTTACTGCAGCACATGTAAAAAGCATGCTACCGTGCATATAGTACTGCACCACAACAGTCTGAATGTAGCCTAAAAGTGACTGGTAAAGCCAGGAAGGATGTACACCTGCAGTGAAAATGGGCTGAGCTGCATGAATGCCAACTGTAGGGGATTGCATAGCATGCTGATTAAATTTGATGTAAACCCTAAGCAAATTGTTTTTGTGAACCTGTTTCAAAGTGTCCTACCTTGATATCCTGCCGGTAACAGTACTTTCTGTAGCTGACGGACGATGCTTGGGCACTGCCTCATTGTCAACCTGCCATGCTAGATCAGTTTGCCATTGGGTAATCTATTTCATAGACCTGATAGGCAGCCTAAGGCTGGGCACACACCTTACAACCATCGCAAGACTTTTGTCTTGCGATGGTTGTAAGGTACTTAAAAAAACGTACGATCTGCCTATGTTGCATAGGCAGATCGTACTTGCGATGATCGCAAGCCACGCCCCCTGAGGGGCAGGCTTCCGATGCTTGCGCACATCGGCCCGTGCGGCTGTTATCGTACGGGCATGCCACAAACCCGCCGAACATCGTACGATGCTCGGCGGGTTTTCAAAAATGTCCGTAAGTTTAAAGTCGTGCGACCTTACAGTAGTAGAGGTCGCACGGCTTCCACACACCTTACGATCATCGTACGATCGCGGGATTTCCCGCGATTATCGTACGATAATCGTAAGGTGTGTGGGGACCCTAACAGCAAACTAAAGCAGAACACACAGCAGGCTGTCAACGCTGCTGCTAATTCCGAGGCAGTGGCTTAGCGTTGCCAGCCTGCAACAGGAAATGCTGTTGCTGACAAGATGTCCAGGTAGGAACTTTACAATATATTCACAAAAAATATTTGCTCACATACACTACACAGTGGTACATGATGCCAAACACACAGAAAAAAAGTTTTACATACATAGCTGCAGGGTTTACGGGATAGCTCTAGAAGATTACTAATTATTTTCACGTGCTGACTGAAATTTTTCTTGCACTAATAAGAAATAGTGATTGGGGTATTTAGATGGGAAAATAATCTTAGTTATATCATAGGTGGCATCATACATTTAACAATGGTCTGGTAAATATGCCACAAAAAGCATTTTGTTATATCCGTTTGATAAGTACAGAAACATCTGTTGGTCCTGCCAGAAATCCAGCGAACTGATAACATCATGTGCACTCTGCCTGTGCTACACTGTTATCAGTTAACATTGTTTCTAACTCTTTCTGTGGACTTCCGAATAAAACGTAACTAGTAATATTACATTTATTTAGACCAGGGGTCTCAAACTCAATTCCCTCGAGGGCCACTGGAGAACTATTTAAAGGAGAACTATTTTCACTCAGCCTCATAGTTCGAGCCGACGTGTGACAATGAAACTGTCACACGTCGACTCAATAGATCGGGAAGTGAGCGAACACATACCGTCGCTCGCTCTCTTCTCTATCCTGTCCCTGCAGAGGAGACTGGGAATTATATTGTTATATGTGGGGGGTGTTTGGGGGGGACTGTGAATTATATATATCTAAATGTGTGTGTGGCGGTATTTATTCATGTGTATGGGGGGTGTATTATTTTATGTGCAGGAATAGGTTTTTGTTTTTTTATGTGGGGAGGGGTAGAAAGAGTATAAGTGTATTAGGCCCCATTCACACCTGTATCTTTAGGTGCAATTAGGGATTGCTGCGTCAGAAACTTGCGTTTTCCTGCAGAAGGAATCCCTAATCTGTCACCCACCCGTAAGTTAAATACACAGCCCCCTCTCCGGCTCACCTTGTTGCAGGGAGGAGGCTGTGAGCGGCGCCACGATCACCGATCTGTTTATCTAGTGGCGATTAGTTATTTCTGCTGCAGACATTACTGATCTAATTAATCATTTTGGCCTGCGTTTAGCGAAGACGCCGGCCGAAATGATCTGAGTGCCAGCACTGAAGCAGCTATGCGGTCTTTGTTCTGCACGTAGCTTCAGGTATATTTATGTAAAGGCCCTGTTTTTAAACTAAACTTGGAAACGGGTTATATTGGGTCATCTTTGAAGCTGAACACTAGACAAATAGCTAAAAAAAACATGTGTGTGTGTATATATATATATCTAGATATACTGTTATATATATACACAGTATATCTATATAAATATACCTATATATATATACACACATAATGCTGCATTCACAGGGCATTTTCATGCATTCTGGCTATCCCGCTGTACCCATTCAAGTCAGGGCGACACAGGGTGACAGTGGCTGCATCTGTCAGCAGCAGTCTGGAAGGAGTCTTACATGGTACAATTACCTGCGGTTCGGGATAAATGATTGTTGCATGAAAAAAGTCCTGAAGGGTATATATAAGGACACTCCCTAATAGGATTGTGCAAAGATCATTACGATCATTCCTCCAACTGACAACAACCCCCTAACCCAACTGATGACCACTTTAAGTAAGGACAAACCCCACTGATTTAAATGTTTCCCAAAACAGTTACATTCAAGTCACAGTTACCAGTGTGCTTATATCAGATCTCAACTGTAGAATTTATAAGCCCTGAGATGGTTCTAGTCATAGACAATCACATGTGTAGCACCACAGCAGCTACAGATCTAAATAGAGGCAAAGATGATGCTATCATTGACAGATAGGAAAGTTTAGTTCGGCTTTAATTCCTACCCTGGACTGACGAATACCTGTATCCCATATCGTTATGGCAATGTGCACCTCCCCAAGAATAAAATGTACATCTTCCTCCAACAAATTGATGGTCACCCACAGAAATGTATTAATATACATTTTTTTTATTAAACTAGGCCTACTCAATTATTATCTAGCCAAATGTTCGGCAACAATGCAGCTTTGATCAGACCATATTGGTGTATGGAAAACTTGTAGGTAGTTGTACAAATGAAGCACCCATGTTAAAGATATATTCCCTCATATTTGCTTCTCCCACCATAATATGCAAATATACACGTGTGGCTCTACACTCCAATATTAGATTACATTATCAGTATTATCTACCTGGAAGTTAGTCTTTTCATGAAAGTTAGAACTGTTGCCAGACTATGCAGAAAAACTGTTGCAGAAAAAAAACGTTTGAGGAGGGTAGGATACATGTTCAGGATGCCGCTGGCCTAAGATTACCGATATGGGATGAGAGGCAGTAATCCTGGATGAATGATTACCCATACTGTACACCAACACACAAACAATTGATTTTTTAAGATCCATACTTACAGAACAACACCCATACGTTTGTCTTTTCTTCAATATTGCAGGTACGCTTTGCCTTGGATGATCAAGGAATGCTCTGGTTAAAAAAGTTTGCATTGAAATTGAGAGAACACAGCCTTCCTACTGATTGGTGCCAATTTCCATCTTGACATTCACCTTCTCTACCAGATTATTATTATACAGGATTTATATAGCGCCAATAGTTTGCACAGAGCTTTACAATATAAGGAAGACATTACAGCCACAATACAATTTAAGACAAGATGGTAAGGAGGGCCCTGCCCGTGAGGGCTTACAATCTAAAAATATCTATAGATGATAGTATTCTTATATTTTAATCAATAAACTATCAACACGTCGTCTAGTGTTTTTCTAGTTCTAACACCACCCTCTCTCTGATTCTACTGCAACCTTCCAGTGCTGCTTAGAAACATATCTGACTGCAGTGGATTATATTAAACAGATAGTGGAATGGACTTGTGACATTAGCACTCTTGCAATACCTCCTGGATTGTATTAACAGTACACTAATTCATTTAACCTGTTGCCTGAAGTTTATTTTTCACAGAATCAAAAGTCAATGTAGCTGTAAACTGTGATGCCATATACCACTCACAATGTTTCACATAATGAACTAGGGCTTACCACTTGACTTGGCATCCGGGAAATTTGGATTTTCCTCCAAAGTGAAGAATGGTGGAACACAGGTAGCAGTGGGCACACTCTGCCCCAGGTATGAAGGATAGTAAGAATGCATCCTGTACTGTGAGCTTGAACCATGTCCCGCCAAACGGTTGTCAGCGCTTTTCATCTGCATGGATGTAAAACACTTATTACAGTTCATCGACTGGTTTCTCAAAGTAACATGTAAACTAAAAGCAATTGAGAGCACTAACATGTATGGCCAATCTAACAAGTTGTCACCTTTTTAAACATTTTTTATGTAAAATACCATGGTGATATCATGCCTAAGGTGTGCTTATCTATGCTGTCACAACGATGTTCCATTTTTTTGCAAAACGCATTCCATATGCATAATCATCTGTAGCAGTGCCACAGCATTACCAAATACATTTACAGTATGCATACCCATATACAGTATTTTGCCACAGTAAAAACTGTTTAGCCCGTCCTTGCTATCCAATAATAATAGAACTATCCGTCTGATGGCAGCATTTTTAAATATCCATTATAACTAAGATCCTTGGACTTGTACAATAGCGCTGCTCATCATAGAAATAGTAATGTGCAAGAGAGCTCAGCGCTACTAGGAAGTGCTTAAATTTATATGATAATGCACCCGAGACATTGGACAGCACTTTTGAATGTATGTACAAGCACCACTAGGTGTCTGCATTGTTGTGCTACAGCCTATTCATCTTTAGAGTGGTGCTGACAGATATATACGTTACACTGGTATAGTGTTAGCTCTCAGCAATAGTATCCTGATATTAAGTTGGATTTTTTCTCCGTCTGTATTGCCACTACTGTGTATGCACAGGATCTTGCTGCTGTGTGATGTCAGAAACATGGTGGCATGGTAGTGGCAGTACAAACCAGTCACTACTACGCATGTGTAGGATCTTGCGGACATATCACTGGCGTCATAATATGAGGGAGGTATACCTTGCATGTGTGGTAGTGTCACTATATCACTATGAAAGTGAAAAGCTGCACATGCCCAGTAGCAGAAAGTCCTGGAAAGGGTAAAAACAGCATGGGCTAATGGGCTGTAAGGAGAAACTTGGCTGCTTCCTCCTCCCACCATGTCAGCAGCCCCCTGCTCTAAGAACTCTACCAGCAAGCCTCTTCCTCTCTGCAACCTGCCAGCAAACAGGCCAGGGTCACAGGCCTTGATCCTACCCCTCCAACAAAATGTCTGGACTCTCCCTCCTCACTACTGCATCTTACCTGTGCCTGTCCCCCACGCCCAAACCCACTTTCCAACCTCTTTCAACACGGTGTCTGCACACCCTGATCTCACTGCTGCAAGTGAACTCCACCCCACCCACCACCATTGTGTCTGCACACTACCCCCTCTATGATCATGTCTGCACACTCCCCCACTGTCACAACTGCACCTGACCCGCGTCAACCCTCACCACTTTACCTGCCACCTTAAACAGATTTTTATAACAATGGAGCAAAGAAAACAGGATAGCCCAAGCTCCACCTGCTGGCTAAATATAACATTATAATATTAATATGCAAAATGTGATATTTAACAGATAACAAATGAAAAATATTAACAAGCAAAAAATATATTAAGTACAGAACCAAATTACATTCCCATTAACTACTGCTTTAGCTCAGAGCTGCTAACAGATACTCTGAGCAGCCAAAGAAGTTTAAAAGCTGAAAAGTTAGGCAGCAGCTATTATTAGGCTGGGTTCACACCTGAGCGTATTTTTTCAGCTCGATTTTTTTTGTTCAGTGAAACGCGCGTTTCACTGGCGGTATGATTTTTTTCCCCCTTATTTCCTCTATTTTAAATTTTTTGTTTTTTTCACTTTCAAACTTCCCGCCAGCTCCGCCCCCTGCGACAGAACCCGGAAGTCGGCAGCCGCCAGAGGACACAGCAGGGATCGCGGACAAGGTAAGACCTGTACGCTGTATTCCCAAGTGTGGCTCGGGGTTACCGCTTTGTTAACCCCGAGCCACACTCGGGAATACCAATGGAAACGCGCGTTCCTGCGCGCCGTAAAACGCCCCGGTGGGAACCATGCCCATAGGCAATTATTGGTTTTCACATGTTGAGCGTTACAGTGGCTCTCTGGCTACATGGCATTGTCCACACCGGAAACTGGCAATGCTGTTGCTGTGAGCTGATCTTTGTAAATTTATCTCCAATCCAAGGGGACTCACAGCACAATAAAAATACGGTTATATTTAAAAAAAATTAAAATAAATCTATGAAACGGTTTTACTTCTTAACAAAAAAGAAACTATATTGATCTCAACTGCTTAAAAAGTTATATCACAGCAGAATTTTCCAGCACAAAAAAACAGCTTGCTGGAAACTTATGCTGTCTATTCTAAATCTGAATCACGTACTGCGGTACTAAGGAAAAGAGAAAAAGACCAGACGCAAGCTTGAATCATTGCAAATGCTGGCATGGCTTTGAGAGGAAACATCTATATCTGTCCACGTTGATAGACATACTTAATTAACCTCTGGTATACTGTTCCAAGCTACTGTTTAAGACAAAATCATTGACCCATAAACAATATGTTGCCATCAGAATCTCAAATTGCTGTGACACCAAAGAGATATAGCCCTATCAGCACTATGTGAGGAGAAAAAAAAATCTTTTATATTACCTGCGCCAAGAAATATGGCTTCTATTTATGTCACACATGAGCTGTCAGAAACACTATGATACTTTTAGCATAAATCTGCAGGCTGGAGGACATAATAATACATATTCTATGACTTCTAGACAAGCGGAACATTCATCCAGACAGAACACACTGTATACCTCTCTTCTCAATGATTTTATTTTTATTCTTCATCATCCATTTATATCAAGATAAGCACAAGATAGCAGCAAAGAGAGCCATCTTTTTAAAGCAGACCTGTAATATAAACTTGACCAGTCTAAAAATAAAGTGGAAGTTACATGGTCTTGGAGGGGGAAAAAAGGCCTCTAAAGTTTTTCATCAAAATGTGCTAATAAGCACAGCATACTTACCTTGTAAGCTATCCCCTCCACAGCAACTCTGTGCACAATCTCCTCCAATGGTTCCATTCTCACCCTTCCGGGTTCAGCATCTTCAGCCTCTTGATTGGCGAGGCAGGCATGATGTAACTCCCACCCATGCGCATGGGAGTTACTTCATTTGAGCATAGGACCTTGCCAAACCTGTGCACTCCGCTGCACTTTGAAGGGGACTTCCAGCAAAAAATATTTCAGTCTAGGAGAAGCTTTGCTGGGCTTCAGTTACCTAATGGCCTCGAACATTTCCTGGAGACCTATTCTGGGCTCCAGACTACCTCCTCCCAGTGCTCCTCCTCACTGAAGACTAGACGGACATTATTTTATACTATATTTCATACTTACCTTTCACAAGGTCTTTAGGCTGGTCATGTGATGGTGCAGGGTCCTCTTTGCTCTTCTCCTCAATAACGCAGAAAACAGTGCTGACCTTATAACGTCACCTGCTGGGGGACATTAAAAAAGTCAGCCCTGAGTTGAGCTTTAAGAATGATTTCTCCCTGACTCAGTTTCTATTAATGGCCCCATATTACTCATTTTGCCACTGTAGGGGCATTTGCACTGCTGCTGTTGCAGTGTATATGATAGGAAAGAAACTACAAATACAACAGCATGAGGCCCCCATACGCCTGCGATGGCTGGTGTACAGACACACCCCCTACCCCAAATATCAAACAAAATTCACACAAGTGTCCTATGTATGGAAAGCTTAAACCAGCCAAGTGAATGCAAACACAGTAGGTTGGTTGAACCCTTCTATTTTACAGTCCGAGTTAAAAACAATGGCTTCACTTTCCCCCTTCATTTCTAACAACTGCAAGTAATGATCACAGCCTTTGAAGTAACCAGGCTATTCCTCTTGCTATCCGATCCAACAGTACCTGTGCATAGAAGATATTGTGATCTGTTTATTGCGATCTGTTTATTGCTTCTTCTCTCATATCACTGCTCTCTAGCAACCCCTAGATAGCTGCTGTGAAAACTAAGACTGGAAATCTGAGTTTTGCAATTTCTACAGTCTTTCTGGATATCATGGGACATTCATTGTCATATCATGGGACATATCATGATCAATATCATGGGACATTCATTTTTTTTTTACTGCTTGAACGTAGCCAATATAAAGTAAATAATTCCAGCTAAGGATAACAAAGGGAATGAAAGAAGTCAAAGTACCCGGCAGGGTTTGGTAAAGTAGATTTTTACAACAAGTTGTCCCTGCTGCTATCTGGGGATTGCCAAAAAGAGGGAGCAAAAAAGAGCCCACAGCAGCCTCAATATACAAGTTACTGTTAGATGGGCTACCAAGAGGAATAGCATGAGTCACCTTAAAATGCACGCCAAAGCCCTCATTCCTTGGGACCACTATATATAAAAGGTTTGCAATTAATTCTACCTAAGATGGACCAACTGAGCCAAGAGCAAAAATGCTGTAACAAACTGTAAAACTCCTAACAGGATGTCATACGCATCTGCTTCTGTCTAACAATGGGTAACAATAAGCATATATGAAGATCACTGACTGAGCCAAACATACAACTCACCCTAATTACAATGTTACCCAGAATCCCTATTTATTAATATTTAATTACCTCCAACATGTTTTGTAGCATATTCCAGGGCTTTGACTATAATGCTGTAGCAAACATTAAAAAGTGAAACACAAGTAATGAGAACCCAGCTCATGTTGCTCTACAAATGAAAAGGAACAGATATAGATACAAAAGGTAAAGATATATTTGGCAGCTGTAGTTGTGGGAGAACTACATTTCCTCTGAAATTTGATGTGCTGTACTTATATTGTACAGAAAAAAATTGCTCAGAGAAGGTCAGGACTGCAGTCACAAATGTCATGTAAATTCAGCTTTTGTGGTTCTCATAGCCAGCCAGCTAAAAATCATTTTATCAACTCCCGAAGACAGGCAGCATTATACTGTTATATTTCTGACCATGGATTTGGAATAAACATTATCACAAATGGTTTGTCTTATAAATCCTTTGCAATACTGTGTTTTGGACAAGCGGCTGCAATAAATCATTTCAGGATTATCAATCTCATTTTAGTGAGAATACATAACATATTTGTCTTATTGACGTTAAGGAGCAGTAACTTAATCTTTTTTCTAAGAAAGGAAAGCAAGGAAGAAGAATACCAAAGAAGGCAGCAGCTCTCTTGGGAAAGTGGTTAACATTAGAGGATAATTTTAAGAAGTTACCCTTTAAATGACCCTGCCTCCTCCCAAGATGTTATACTCACCTGTCTATGCTCCTCACAGTTCCATGCTGTGTTGCCCACTCATTCCTTCCTATGGAGAGGCTGCCTATTTTGGGTCGCATGATAAACGGCCTCTTGATAGGAATACATTAGATTCTCTCCCTCATGAGGAGACTTTGGGTCCAGTTTGCAGAGTTCTCTTTAGCTCCCTGTAGGCCACATAGCAAGGATCTCCCAGGAACATGGACAGATGAGACCTTTAGGGGGTGGGACGTCATTAAAAGTATAATTGTATGAAAGTTAATGTATATTTTAAAGTAAGAACATTGTATTGATTGGTTGGTGCCCCTTGACCCCCCTTAGTCGCATTTGCTGTTGCAGTGAGGCTGCATTGCATGTTAGGTGAACTTTTTCTATTACATACTAGTATTAAGAGCAGTAGTGGGATTTTAAAAGTCCATCTCTATATGCACTTTAAATGTATAAAATTATTGGCAGATTCACTTTAGTGAACAATTTATAATTCCTTCACCTGCCATTGGTTTCCTGCTTGTCCAGGGACATAAGCAGCTGAGAAGCTTCTTATACCATTCTTCACTGAGGATCCACTTATGTCACTGGCACCAGCTGGATCACCACTCACTGTCATTTGGTAAGGAGAATAATTGTAGAGGTTATTGTAATATGGATACAGTGATGTTTGGTAGAAGTTGCTGTAATAAGCGGGATCCACCATAAAGTCAGAAGTGCTTTCCATGTGCCCTCTGCTGGGGATAGATGGGATATCCTGAACATGCATTTTGCTCTCTGCAGAAAATAAAACAAATGAATAAAGTTATCAAGGGCTTCAAGATGAATGCAATCGACATTACAAAATACATTTAAAGCACTGATACATTTTTATATCTGGTACTTCTACTTCTTTTGTAACAATTCAATTGTGCAATACAATACAAAAATAAATAATGATAAAAAACATGTAGCACACAGCAAACCTATCCTACATTAACATTATTTATCCTATCTGCTGTTTGACAGAAAAAGATGTGACAGGTTTAACAAAATTCTCAATGACAACACTGTGTTCTAACCAAGGGGGGTTTTGCCAGACAGTCCAGCTGGTCATCTTTGGCAGCTCCTGCACAACATGCTCGTCAATTCCTATACACCCTTGTAGTCCCTGGATTTACAGCTCCTCTGTCTTCCCCAGACATCTGAGGAGGAAAGCAAGATGAAGAACGAGAGCTCCCCTTGAAAGAGGTGGTCCACACCCCACTGAAATGTGCGTCATTGAATAAAAGTGTATTTTTTGCTACAACACACACCACACAAGTCCTGTGAGCGCCCTAATAATAACAATGTGTGTATTACATCCTTATATATCATATATAAATATATAAAACATGTTTAAAATATTACAAAAACAAACAAAAATAATATAGACCCAAAACCATTCTATTTTTCCTTTAACCTTTCTATGACAATCACACAACTGCTACTGGATTTACACCAGCTACACCTGTGTATGTTTCCTTGCTGAATAATACGTAATGATGATGGGAAACCACTGAACTTCTTACAGTAAACAAATATTTGCAGCTGTTTTTTCTGTAAATGAATTAATACATGTTGGTACAAGGCAGGACACATGACTAAAGCTGGCCATGCACTAATAGATTTTTAACAGATTCAGATTCTAAGAGCTAAGCAGTGTGAATGGACAAATCTCCCGCTGTCGCTATTGTATTCCGACCTGCTGGTATCAAAATACGTAAACAATGACTGCATCGGTTCATCTACAGTCAAACATTTTTGACCTGTATCCTTTGACAAAAATCAATTAAGTAATAGACGTTTACCGAGCTGGCAGGGCCGTACACTGGCACACAAGATTTCAGACAATTCCTGCGGATCAGAATAAATCCTGTGTATAACTACATGCACATGGCCGAAATAAATGTTGCCGATCATATATACATGTTGTTTTTTCTGGTCAATAAGTTTTGGTGTAATGCTCAGTAAAATGCTTGCATTTAGATGTGTAAACACCTATGCATATAAATGTGTAACATTCTTGTTTCATTCCTCCTGCTCTGTTTACAATGTCATTTTCATGTTTGGACTTCATCTATGTGCTTAAGCGTGTACGTGAGTACATGAGTAAGCACCTAAACGTACCTTTACACGCTTGCGTGCATAAAAATGTATAAAGATTATATTGCTGCACTCTCTGCACTGGTGCTTGAAGTGACCACGGATGGCACCGTGAAAGAACTTTAAAGTGAAATAAGAATGTTACCAGCACTCCAAGATCAGTGAAATAAGTCCATTTAATGTCTTAGCATGTCATAAGTGCAAGCACTTTCGGGGCCTCGCAGGGTCCCATTCAGCAGGCTCAAAATTACAGAGACGTTTGGACTTCATCAAGCGTGTACGTGAGTAAGCATTTAAACGTACCTTTACACGCTTGCGTGCATAAAAATGTATGTACTCAGATGCAGATTTTTAAATTTTGAGATACCGATCTCAATGCAGTGCATGTGTACGTACCTGTGTACATATCCCTCATTTAAAATAATAAACCTGCGTTCCAATCCCAAAACAAAAAACGCTTTGCATTGCATTGTGTTTCAGCTGAGTGTATGAAGCCTAAGGCCATACACTCAGCTGAAACACAATGAGAAGAAACTGATAAAGTAAAGATAAGATGTTTTACAGCAAATTAATGATAAAATGAAAGTCGCATGGAAAATAAGACTAGTGAGCCCTCTACTGGGGACATAAGAGAAGGACTAAAAGACAGTTAACACTTCTACAACAAGGAGCTGCAAATTTAATACATGTACTGGCAAAATATATTGAGATAACATAACCACACACAGGTTGTCACAAAATAATATTTTGGTATGCCCACAGTGTCTTTCTAAACAAATACAAAGAATTTATGGTAACATGCTATTAAACCCTACTTAAAAGACAACTATGGGGTCAGTGTTTTTCCCCATAGTTCTCTTAAGGGTCACGGGAGAACACAAACTAGCGTCCTCCCGTGACCCAAAGCTCAGTATATAGCGAGCTACAGCGCCCCAGAGAGACCGCCCCAGCCGGGACAGATCCCGACATTACTGTGGAGATCTACCCAGCTGTGTGAGTGACAGCAAGCCTTGCCTATCTAGAGGCAGGGCCAGCTGTACCCGCCCCCTCCCCCGTCCGTTCCGCCAGTCAACGCTGGAGGATTAGAGAGGGGAATCTCTGCAGGGAGCGGTGACTGACAGTCATTGCTCTCTGCAGGGAGATGATCGAGAAGTGAGCGAGTGACGGTATACGTTCGCTCACTTCCCGATCCAGTTTCATTGTCACAGGTCGGCTCGAACTATGATGATGAGTGATTTTCACTCACCTCATAGTTCTCCTGATATTAAAGTCAAACGTTTTATAAGCTATTTCAAATGCTGATGAAATCACTTACAATGGATTCTGCTTAATGTTTAAACGTTTACGTTTCCTGCAGAATCAGCTGGTCCCCTGAGCACTGACCCTGATATCCTGTTTTAGGTTGGCTTCCTTTCCCTTGCAGGGTCCTATGGAGCCACCCTTGTGTATGCTAGTAAACTTTGTGTGTAGACACCGGCTCTCCAAGTAATGAATCAATGGCGTCTGTTTATTGATGCATAGCACAATGCATCAAAAAGTTGCCATCCGTCTACTGCCGCAGCACCCATCTTTTATATGGAACATCGGTTTTGAGTGCGATGGGTTCATGGACTGCCTCCACAAACACAGCACTCCACTCTCACCGGCTTCCCACACCTCCCTTCTCCATGCTAGTACATGGACAGCTGCTGGAGACTGTACTGTCCCTTGTGATCTTGCACTGGACAAGAAGTTCAGGGAAGCAAAGCTGAGAGAGTTGGAGCTGTTTGGAAACATGATGACTGTAAGTGCTTGGATAAAAATATAATAAACACTTTCCTGGGCAATGCATATTTGTTTCATTTGGATTAGTTATAGTAAAAATAAAAGTTTGAGAGTTTAATTCTACCTTAAATATCATATGCTCCATGATACATAAGAAATAAAGAACATTTTAAAACTCCAAAAGTCACTTGGCAATCGACACAAGAGATTCACAAGAACAGTAAATGCAGCTGAAAAATGCTTTGAGAGATATCCACATGCAACAGGAATATGTAGACAGGCAGTAACTAGCCTGCACACAATGTACCAGCATATCACGCTGGAACAATGTTCTACAGTGTAAACCTTGTATAAACAAAAGATAACTGCTTTCCTGCTTGTCCCTCTCTAGCCAGACAGGTACAAAGTATGTACACTAAAAGTCTGCCTTGTCCTTCTCTTATCTTTATTTGTTTTATAAAAGCAACTAGAGAAACATGTTTTGAGGGAAGCTATACTGTATAATTAGATATGTTATTTTATCTCACACTGAAGTCCTCTTGCTGCTGGCCGTACCTGTGCAGTAGAGCACTATAGACTTCTATGGGGCTCGTCTACCTTCAGGAGATGAGCCCCATAGATTTCTATAGGTTCTCTACTGTTCAGGCATGGCATGCAGTAACAGTAACTTCAGCCAAAATGTTTTATGCTTTGGACATAAGATAATCTCTGACAGGTTTCATTTCTGTCCATGTCTTGATTGGGGAGATTTCCATGCACTAGCTACCCCCAGAGATACAACAGGAAGTGAAAAGCTCTCCAGATCAAGGTGAACTCATATCTCTTACAGTTGTCACCAGAACAAGTGTCCCCAATAGAAGGTATCACCTCTACTCCTGTTCAAGTGACAACCCTGAACTTACAGAAATAAAGCTCTGAATGTCTGAGTGCTGGCCTGCCCTCTCCTAGTCTGCTGGACTCGAAGTACTGATGGGGTGGTCATAATAATCTGGCCACTCAGTGTATATGTCATCATTGGAATGTGATGATTGTTTAAGAATATATTAATAGTTAATAATTAAATTGCATTTTTGCAAATATTTGTCTGGAGCTCGGCTATAACTTATGCCAATAAAATAAGTGCATTAAAGTGTAACTGAAGCCACCCTTCAGAGATTAACCCTTTCTACTTCCAGGTGACCGTTATCACTGAACGTGAAAGGAAAGCTACAATTTTAGGTTGTGAGCAGAACAGGAGTAGATGGGAACTCTTCCAATGGGGGCACTAGTTCCAGTGACCCTGCTGACCACCAGGGATTTCTCTCTCTTTGGAGGAATTTTTCGTAACTTCCTGTTGTGGCTATCAGACAAGAATATATGGGAAACATTCAAAGGAGGCACAAGTTCTTGTGACCCTGCTGACCACCAGGGATTTCCTCTTACTTCCCGTTGTGGCTATTGACAAGAATGAATGGGAAATCTTTCAAAGGAGACACAAATTCTGGTGACCCTGCTGACCACCAGGGATTTCTCTCTCTTTGGAGGGATTCTTTCTTACTTCCTGTTGTGATTATAAGGCAAGAATAGATGGGAATTTTTCCAATGGGAACCCTAGCTCCAGTGACCCTGCTGACCATCAGGGATTTCTCTCTTCGGATGGATTTCCTCTCACCTCCTGTTGTGACTATCAGACAAGAATAGATAGGAAATCTTTCAAAGGAGACACAAGTTCTGTTGACCCTGCTGACTGCCAGGGATTTGCCTCTATTCATTTCCTCTCACTTCCTGTTGTGGCTATTGGACAGGAAGGGAAATCTGCCCGGTGGGACACAGATGACAAAAAAAAAAGTGTTTTAACCATTCCTTACCCTATCCAAAATGTAAAAGAAAGCTTTGGCTTCAGTTCTACT